TCTTTTGACTCACCAGAATTGTAATATAGGGGTAAGGTAGAAGGTGATCGAGATCGTTCCTCATCTGAGTCAATGCACATGTAAGGTTGATGTGACAGGGATTCTTCGTCTGAACTAGTATCTTCTTTACCAAAGATAAAGTTTGCATCTGAGTAGAACATTTCATGATGAATGGAGAAAAATAAAATACAAAAATACCTTCTGAACTAGACCGAGAGTAAACAAAATTGCCGTCACCATTTAAATCCTCGAAAGACGTATGATAATCGTCTACAATTGCTATCATGTTAAAGATGTTCAACAAATGAATTTTTGAAATGAGAATTAAGATTGAAAATAGTGATATTTACTCGAATTACTTGAAAAATCAAAAAATAAGTTATTGTCGTAGGCAAAAGAAGACATTGGATAATTTTTGAGGTAGAAGAAAATGAAGCTGTAAAAAAAAAAAAAAGGATTTACTGTAAGTTAACACTCGATCGATTAAACTCATTCGTAGATGCACAAAGACTGCCACGAATTACGTAATTTGTTACGTTATAAATTCACGTGATTTAGGAGTTTTTTTTTTTTTTTTAATGGGAGTAATACATCCGATTCCCGATTCCCGATTCCTAATGGCACACGGGTTTACTTTTGCCCTTGAAAATCGGTTTACAATGCGTAATAAATATGCATGCAATGCAGATTTAGAAATTTAATGATACTATGTAATCCGTGTCGGATATCTTTGAAGCACATTATTAAGCTGTAATCACAGGTGCAAAACCAATAAATAGTGACATGTTTTCACCTTTCGTCCCCCAATTTCCACGCAAGATTGATCTTGTTTCAAGTCCAGAATTATTGAAAAGTTTTGATTCTAATTGAATTTGATAGTCACATTTTTCATTAAAGCACTCACTTTAAAGAATCCGTAAACAACAGTGTAAAAAAGAACATTGATATTCAAAGATGACATTATCAGCTGAAAATAATGCAGTCGAAGAAAACCATCTGGTTGTCTTTATTCATGGGTAGATGACATTAATCAATTTCGTGGCATCTGTCTTCTTCCTTTGATTGAATCGAGCGATCTAAACGTTGTATAATATAATACTGTAAATGTAGGTTGTGGGGAAATCCGGGACATCTGCAGTACTTTGTAGACAGATTCGTAGAAAAACATGGTAAAAATACTGAAGTTGTATGTATTACCATTTTTTTCTTTACCTTGCAATCGAGATCCTTTTCTGAAACGCTTATGATCACCGATCAAACAGTTAAATGTTAAATGCAATACCTCGTCATATACTTATGACGGTGTTGACGTTTGTGGAGACCGAATCGTTGAAGAAGTACGTATACAGTGGCAGAATTAATGCTTTTCATTTAATACAACCATCTTACTAACAATTAGTATTTTCATTTCACGAAAAAAGATTTATGAAAATCTCGACTCATTTCGAAAGGCGCACACCAATTCAGATGGCATTGTGAATAAAAAGATCACCAAAATATCGTTTATTGGATACTCGTTGGGTGGATTGATGGCAAGATATGTCGTGGGAATTCTTTATAAACGTGGATTGTTTAATGACATCACACCAATGGTACATGTTTTAATTGGACTGCAGAAATGATAAATCAATACCCTTTATTCATCGATGATTTCCTTTTCTTTTAATCTTTTCACTCGACTCGTAGTCACTTACCACATTCGCCACACCGCATCTAGGCATAAGACGTGATGACGATAGATATTTTGCAAAAATTTTTAATTGGGTCTCTTCAAGCATACTGTCTAGATCTGGTAATTAACTAGTGTAGAAATTACGCTTTTAGGGAAAACATTTCATCACTCGTTTACTCATCGCATTTTTTCCTTAAAAAGGTGAACAATTACAATATGTCGACAACTTTGAAGGCGAAAATGAACCACTCTTGCTTACTTTAACTAGACCAGGTACACGGTGACCTTCTTTGTATCCTCACTGCGCGCGCGCGCGTACATACACAGTACACTAATTATGCATTTGTATGCTCGTTATAGACAAAATATTCTACAAAGCTCTCACGAAATTCAAGTCACTACAACTTTTTGCAAACGTGATAAACGATAGCTCTGTTCCCTATTGGACATCCGCCATCCTTGAAGTAGACCCATTTGAGAAGATTGATGACTTAATCCTGTGAGCATTATTTCACCTATTGAATTTAATTCTTTTTATCATATGGAATCTAAATTCTTTACTCTTGAACACATCACATTTAGATATCCAAACAAAAAATGTCAGGACATTATAGATCGCATAGCAATTTCCAAATCTGTTGGCTGTGGCTCTTCTAAAACCGACGATTCATCCACGTCTTCGGACTCGGTTCACGCGACAACCCGCAACTCATTTTCCAAAAGACTTCCTAGATACATGCTTATCTCGGCGGTTGCCCCAATTTTGCCAGTCGGTGCATTATTTATTTTGGGGGCAATCGCCACCCAAGGAAGGTCCTCCAGGAAGCGGGTGGCGATGATTCAAGAAAAGAATGATGATAAATTGAAGGATTTAAATGCTGTTGATGGTGAACTGGTAAATAATGGTGGTGAGGGTGAGAAGAAAAATGAAGAAAACATAATTACCCAGGAATTTTCAAGCCTTGAAGAAGAAATCGTTGAAGGTGTGATGATTTTAACGAATCACGTTAGTCCACCTCAACCACGTAATACTTCGAACTCCTCGCAAAATGACTCTGAAACAATTTGTCTCTCGAATTTCGTCACCTCGTCGGAGTTTCCAAAGATTTCCATGTCACAACACCAATATCAGAGCTCACAAAATCTGAACACTTTGGAATGGAAAAAGTATAGTGTAATGACGGACAGCGTGCATCCTCACGCGTCGATAGTGTGTCGAAATCGAATGCACCAAGGTGGTAAAGATCTTATAAGATATTTCGTCGAGGAGCTTTTTGAGGCTTAGCCTACGAACTTTTTATCCTTGTTTCTTATGCAATTATTACTTCATCATTAAGCATATAGAATAGATGTGTATGAATAGAATCGGTTCATGGAATTCAATTTATTTAACAAAGGTTATTGCTTAAATTAATATAAAGGATTCGAAATTATCTTTAATAACTTTATTTGGTTAATTAATTAATTAATTGATGATGCATATACCATTTTGTCATTGTGCATTTGAAGAGATCTTCATGCTAATTTTACGAGTTCCTTAGAAACCTTTAAATAAACCAATTTCGAAGCGCCTAACATCTATCTGATGTCAATTACATGTATCTACTGGAAAATTTCTTATGTAACTAATATGTAAACTGTTATTGTTTTAATCACCATGGATGAAAAAGCAAAACTAACATATTCTTGAATATATAACCCCGTTTTTGATGAATTCCAATAACAAGTATAATAAAAATAATAAAAATTAACATTGGTATAAAGTTTTGTAGCGTAAGATTCTTATTCGGAATTCAAAATTCCTTGTATTCACAGTGTCATCTATGTGTACAGAAATCAACATCAATTAATAACATTCTTGTGTTTAAAGACATGAGCAAACAAAATTTTTGATTTTTTTTATTATTTTCATATTAAATGTCCACGGTGTGGAACTTTTGGGGAAGAAATGCTGATGACAGATCCGTTATATCATGAGCTGGTATTAAAAAAAAAAAAAAAAAAAAAAATCTTTTTTTTTTTACTTTACTTTTTTTTTTCAATAGAAAAACATATCCTCGAATTATTCCTATTAATACGAACAAGAATTAAATGATTAACCAAATTTTGTAATATTCTTTATCTTCCGCCGCTTCCGAAAGGCGACCATCCGAATAACGCTGTGATAAAGATTATGATTATGATTGTAATAGTAGTAGACATGAAACAGCTAGCTAAATGTAGTGTAAACTTACTGTTTTTAATGCTTTCCCAAAAACCTTTTGGCTCTGATGTTCGCGAGTTAGTCACTGCTCTGCTACCACTGCTACCCACATTACTTTCTTTATCATCTTCACTTTGAATATCAGATACTTCAGACGAAATCGATGATGTTTCATCTTCATTCTCGGTGGTTGGTTGGTCTAATTCCATCATATACTGGTCGTCGGACTTACCATCAGATATTTCACTCGTGTGAATGTGTTCGTCTACTTCCTCCGTTTTAATGTGCGTCACGAGACCATATTCATTCACAAATTCTATCTTAGTTTTCTTGCTAGCATGACGTTCGGACCTTCGGGTGCCAACCAATACTTTTGAGGCTTCCCTGCCGCGCCCTCTACCTCGTCCGCGTCTCATGCCGCGAGACAACCCCCTACGGTGACCTCCTGTTCCTCTGTTGAGCTCCTGACCTCTGACGCTGTTTCCTCGATTGCGAATACTATTTCTATCATTACTTTGCGGATAATTATCTTCTCGTGATTTTTCTATTTGGGTCTTTGGTGACGGTGATGGCGACGATGACGACGCTACGACCTCTGCTGACAAGTTCCACTCGGATTGTGATTGCTGTCTGGTGCGTCGTTTGGGAAGTTGATTTAGATATGCGTATGTTTCTCGTTGTGTCCTCCTATGACGCTTTTTTGGCGTTTCAATGATCGCTATTAAATTTTCATCTTGCTCCTCAACCTTAATTTCAACTTGGTCACTCGAATTATCGTGTGCTTCGAATTCGTCAGGCACCTCTTGACCTACTTCTTCCTTAACAACAGGCGATGGGAACACTTGTTGAGTAGGTGGCGAAAGATCCGACATGGATGATGTTTCCGAGATTGTTGGTTCTGGATGAGGCAATGACCCTTTGGAAACGTTTTTGGTTTCGGTCATTTTATTCACAGCTGAGGAAATTTCGTCTTTGGCCGTATCTCTGTCCAATGACTTACTATTATCTGAAAATTCGGAATTTTGATCAGTTGGAGATTCTTCATGTTCGGGTGAAGATTCCATTTCGGAAGATGTATCATTTTTGTCATTCGTCTTAAACTCCGGATGCTCGCCATTTTCTTTCGAAAACGATTCTTCGTTTGGGTCGATCTTAACATCCGATCCGTCGCTCAATATCGCCTCGACGAACGCATCATATATCTCTGGTGTGAGCGTGTTTTCGTCGAATTTGCTTATGCTGTATGGTAACAATTTTTTAGAAAACCAATGCGTTGCAATTGATAATTCGATTCCGTCTCGTCGATCTAACACAACGAATCGAACCCATCCTTTAGCATCATTTAAATCGGAAAATTCCAAAGTTTCTAGATCGTGCATTCTTCCGAACGGTCTTGCAAATAGAACGCTAAAGCGGATGAGCTTTTCTTTTCTGAAGAAATGCATGTTGCCCATGATTACGGCTACGGCGGAAGGATTTTGGATGCACTCATTTAACGTGGATAGTCCTTTGGTCAAATAAACGCGGATGAAATCCCTGGTCAAAGACGA